GTGATTATCGTATACATTTTGCATGATCATTCATTGTCTTGTTAATGAACATTGTCACAGTGTCCCTCTAGACTAGCAATTAGACATTGATGTGAGAAGTATTGAGTTTAATCTTCAGTACCCTTCAAATACACTGATTACCACATCTTGCACACTGAGAGATAGAAGTTAACTTGAAACACAAAGTTCTGTGGATCACACATTCAAAAAATTTCCTGTTTTTGAAGAAATTGTAAAGGTTAATTATGAAAATATATATTAGATCTGACAAATTTTATTAACCTTATGTATTTCTATACATTAATAGTGAATACAAATTCTTAAAAATTGAGTTAATTGCCATTATTTATTGTGTCAAAATGAATGATAATTACTATAATAAATAAAGTATTGCAAAAAACTAAAGACATTAAATTACTGTCGTTTGATAAATTGCGGAATGGCGCACACCAATTATGTCATCAATTTTCTCATCAGTATTGGACAAGAACAACACGCGTGATTCATCCAAAATGTTATTTAATTCAACCATTAAAATGATTAATTCCTTGAAAATACTGGCAACCACCATTAAATTGAATATTAAAAAAATGAAATGCTAATTACAGAGTATCATGTTTGTATGATAGATATCACATACCAAAGAACTGTGTACACTGAAGTCCATAGGAGAGACATTCCTAAACTGAGCATCTAACATATGCAAATGCACTGAGTCATGAATATCTAACATTATCACTCTAAAAATATATTCTTATTGCTGTCATCAGTAATCCGACATTCATGCTATATTTTACCATCATTAACCTATGCACATTAATATTTCTACCATTATTTTTCACATAAAGGTACCTGTAACTAAAATTATCATTTGCACAGTCATGCTATATTTTATCATCATTAATCTTATAAACATTCATATTTCTACCATTATCATTATTGTTCATATACCTGTAACTACAATTATCATTTGGACATTCATGCTATATTTTCCATCATAAATCTATACACATTCATATTTCTACCATTATTTTTCATATAAAGGTACCTGTAACTAAAATTATCATTTGCACAGTCATGCTATATTTTGTCATCATTAATCTTATAAACATTCATATTTCTACCATTATTATTATACATATACCTATAACTATTCATGCTATATTTTACCATCATTAGTCTATACACATTCATATTACTACCATTGTTTTGCATATGCCTGTAACTACATTTATCAATTGCATAGTCATGCTATATTTTACCATCATTATTCTTAAAAGCATATTTTTACCATTATTGTGTATGCTTATTGTATAACTAAAATTTTCATTTGGACATTCATGCTATATTTCTACTATCATCTTGAGACATTGATATTTATACCATTGTATACTCATCACTCAGATGTAAGTACTGTATTCATATTTCATTTATACCATCTCTGATGATAAAATATTTTATGTCCACCATTAAAGATTGCAGTTTACATCCATTGTGCTAATTACATTGATCAAACAGTTCTACAATTATCGTTATTGATGTACATTAAAATCATTTCTACCATCATCTCTGGCAGTCATTTACATCATCACTGATATAGGCCTAATTATTCATATTTCTCTGACATTCATAATTTTACCATCATCATTCTAATGTATACAGTGCTTTAATTTTTCATATTTTTCAACATTACACTATAGCTTCATATTTCTAAACCATCATCTTTCCTGTATCCAGTTTATAAACTGATCCATTAATGGCTGTAACCAAACATCCCACAAATCAAAACTATATCTCATTATACAATTTATCTTACTTATTTTACTCTTTCTTCTTATATAACATATTCATGGTTGATTGATTGATTGATTGATTGTTATATGGTCACACTGATGACTATATTACTGTAAATCTGTCACTCCTGATGTCATCGCGTAATCTATATCCGATTCTATCATTACATTGCTCATTCACTTTTTATTTTTCATCATCATACTCTTCACATTCTCATCCTTTAACAATTTATATTTTTTACCATCAACACACTTATGCATTGCATAATTATTCATCATCACCCTCAGTTGAATTATACTAACTGTATTAACTTATTTAATGTTGGGTATACTGTAATATTAGACAGGGTCTTTATCCTGGTACTGAAACTGTATAGGTCTACGAACACTAAACTGCATTGTATTGTTTCTTGTATAATTATTAGTAGTAGCAAAGATACTAGAAATACAATACTAATAGAGGAAAACTTTATTAAAAATCAGAGTCCGGTCATACAATTTTGCGCTTTTGTATCTGTCATTTTATTGTTTTTATTTATTTATGCCTACTTGTTTGTATCTTATGGATAATGGCAGCGATTTCAACCTCCGCAAAGGAGATTATGTATTCGCAGTTATGTAATGGTGGCAGAAGTTTTTTTAGGTCTAGCTGCACGATGCGCCCCATTGTTTGTATTCCCACCATGCATTTCTGTAGAACAGTTTTTTCTGTTGAGAATTCTATCTTGTGTTTCTAGTATCTTTGGTAGTGTAGGCCATGTCTCTTGTTTATAGGGTGCATGTGATGATGCGTTTTACACATCAACAGAGAACCAGCAGGTTATGAACGTCATTTGATAGATCACAAAGGAAATTGACCTTACAAAAATCTGTTTTTTGATCACTAATATCTCCACAATTCATTTTTCATTTGCTATCCTTCATTTAAACTTATCAAGCATAGCTAATAGTTGATCAATGCGGACAGCAATAATTATTTTTCTATCGACACTTAGGGACAAAAGGCCTACTTGATGAGTACTACGTAATGCTTAGTAATAATACTGTCAAATGAAGTGTTCAGAAATTTATGTGGAATTGTAGCCTAAATGCATATATACATTTCTTGACTTTTGGTTATTTTTTTAATATCACATTGTAGACTTTTATTCACATGCTTGATTAAGAAAATAGTGTTCTTGTAGGAAAGAGGTTAATTTCTTAATATCTAGTTAGAGTTAATAAATTATCCTTCACAATAAAGAAAAATTAGCAAAAAAAATTGTCAATTGTAGTTTAGTATTACCATAATCTAGCATAGGCTTCAGAAATATAAAAAATATTAAGTATTTCTTATATTTTTTTCTTATATTCTTCCAAAGTTCTTACCTTTCAACTGAAGTTTATGATGAGAAACCATTTTAAATATAAATTTGACATATGATGAACATACTACTTCAGTGTTGATAACTTAAGCTCCAACAATATTTATTCATAAATATCCCTTGTTTGCTAATATCCACGTTTCAGGAATTGTCATACCAACAGTTGGTCATTCCACCACATACAGTTCAGATAATTAAATCAAGTATCATGGGCCACATAAGGTTGTCATAGCAACAGTTGGTTATTCCCTAGCCAGTGTGCGCATAATTAAATCTAATCACATGATTGGGTATATGAGGATAGATGTCTTTGATAATGTTCATTTAAAACGGTTGTATACTCCTTAGGGTAGAAAGAGATTGTCAAGCTAGATTTTAACTCTGCCCTCATTGATAACTTCATCAACTGTCTCGTATGACACGTCCCAATGCCTAATGATTAGCAGCCTATAAATGTTCTCCCAGTAGTACGAGAGAAAGCCTAGTGGCATAGAAATCCCCTTCCAACAACATGTGAGAAGGAATCACTTTATAGCTACTAGCTTATGAATTCCTTCCCATTGGGACATTCAATATTGTTCTTAATTACTATTCACATCAGTATTAAATATTCTGCTACAATGTACGTAAATCTGCATTTTTTTTTTCTAAATGAGTTCTAATATTTGAGTCATCTAACTAGTCATCATTAACAGGATAGCTATTATCATTATAGTACATAGTACATTGGTTAGTAGTAGTAGTAGTAGTAGTAGTAGTAGTAGTAGTAGTAAAACTTTATCCACAAAACAATGAATATATGCTGTGTTTCATTATGGCCATGAGAAAACTTACAATTACGTTAATTTTATAACACATTACTGTACATTATCATCATACAAAAACAAAAGTTACATGCTGAACATTAAATAATATAGATACATTACTTAATTATTATACTTACAAAGATTGGGGAAAAAAAACAAAACAAAAATTCTACAATTTAGTTAAATATAAATATATATAATCTATATTAACAATGTCAACATTTATTATGGGAATGGAGAATTTCACAAAAGTATACTGTTAGATATGAAACAGAAAGGGCAAACAAAGCAAGAAAACCAAAAAATTAGTGATTTATGCAAAGTGTTCATACTAAATACTTACTTTAGTTTCATTAATTATTACAAATAATTGGAAATCTAACTGATGGTTAATTAGTTGCCTTAATACTGGGATTTATTCAGAAAATAAAAGTCTTGAGCAAAGTGAAAAAATAAAGAAAACTATAAAGAAATAATTATAAACAAAGTGAACAACAAATAGAAACAAATAAGAACATCATGAACAAGCTTGCTCCATTTGACTCAAATCCCTGATGAACACTCTCAACTCTATACTAGATAATCTGTAAATCCCAGGTGCTTTGATAATTCTCTTTAATCCATAATAATGGATCCTGTAAGCTTCTTATTCCCATGTCTCAGAATTGATTGTTCCTTATTGTGTTCATCTAGAACACATCTAGTACAGAACATTCTTGTTATGCAATTTTTTTGGTTTTAAAATTTTAACTTTGCATAGTTGTATGACTATCTATATCTTTATTTTTATAATCTTTATATATATAGTTTGATATATAATTGATTTGTTATTTTTATGTGAATTTGTTTATCATTCACTTAATTTTGTTTAACCTCTACCATCTTGTTTAGGTGAATATATATGCTGGTAAAAATGTATTAAAAAGATAAGATAACTATACAATTTATATTAAATAAAAGATTTAAAAAATAATATATTATTTTATTGAATTTTGTGATGCTATTAGAATTATAATATTTTTATCTATTTTTTTTAGTGGGTTGAGACTGGAGCAAGTTATGAAAGACGATACCAAGTTTGTGCAATACTCAGTCGTACCGGTAGTCAAAACTTTTGGCTTCGCACACCATACCTGCATCGCTCAGGTGCTAATCGGATTCATGTGGAGATAGAATTCACAATGTCATCATGCGAAGGCAGAAATGATGGACTTGTGTTATCGTGCAGAGAAACATTTGATTTATATTACATAGAAGCTAATGCAGATTACGCCACTGAAACAACACCCTCATGGAATTCTCCTCCGTATACTAAGATCCGCAGAATTGCTGCAGATGGGCGTTTTTCAATGCAGAATGATGTACGAAATACAGTCGATGAAGTATTTGGACCTGTTTCACAAAATGGATTCTATCTTGCATTTCAAGATCAGGGTGCTTGTATGGCAATTTTACGTGTACGCGTCTACTACATCAAGTGTCCGTCAGTTATTGCAGGACTTGCAAGATTCCCTGAAACAATCACAGGGTCAGAAGTTACATCTTTGGTGAGTGTTACCGGGACGTGTTTAGAAAACACTGAGCGAATCGGCTCCCATGATCCTACTTATCAATGCCAAAGCGACGGTATGTGGATTTTGTTACGGGGAAGCTGTGGATGCAAGGCAGGATTCGAACTTCAGGAAAACACCTGCTCAGGTAAGTTTTTTTTGTTTCTCATTTTTTAACTTTTTATCTAACTCATTTTTAAGTGATATCAGAATGATAAACCTTTGACCTGTCTATATACCTCAGCTACGTAGGACAACATTTTCCAATGATAATCGGTTTGATCTTCAACATTTTACAAGATTATTAGTTTGATTGATATTCAAAAATCTTGTAAACCTTTGATTTTGTTTGTAAAATAAGTTTATAGGTAAACAATAAAGAATAAAAATAAACTGAGTGAGCAAATGAAGAATAAGGAAACAACATGCACATGAGATAGAAAATTGATTGGATAAGTGATTAAATGAATAAACTTTACGAAGAATAATCTTCAGAAGATGGATGTATAGTGGAACAAATGCATCAATAAGCAGGTCACGGCTGAGTGCATAAATTATTTACGCCAACAAGTTTGACGTACGAATAACTAACAAAACCTTTCAAATGAATTTGCTGAAATGTACCGAGATTCTGCTATAGGCTGTACATGAAACCGTTGATTTTATCTTTATGTTTCTACAACATTCATTCTAATTGGACGATATATTCAATAGCATACCGCAGTGAGATGTCATTTGAAAAGTATCAACGTCGCGCCTCTGGTCATGTCGTTTTGCAGGCCGCACAAGGTCTGTTTAAGTGGCGCCAGATACTGACGACACATGTACTCTGGGCATTGGGACTAAAATAGGCCACAAACTTAACATTTCAGTGTCTAGGAATCGATGGTTACTTGAGATGTTATCTCGCTATAAAAATGAATGCTATTAATTTACCCACTTATAATTCCATCTCTTACCTGACTGTCTTTAATAACATCCTCGCATTATAAATCTTCATCCTCCATCTATATAACTACCTTGTTATAAATTGTTATTTTTTTGCACTATATCTAAACTGAATGCTGAAGTTTTCAAATTAGGTTTATCCATTCTATCTAGGCCAGTTATTTTATCTGAAAATTATATTAGCAGATAGTGAATCTAATACGTACAATAGAACCATAGTAGGCCTATTATTGAAAGTAATGAACTGCTTTGAAGCACTGTGTAGGTTGTTGCCCTAAAAATACTGTGCTCCATTTGCCTTGGCTCTGAGCAAACTCGGCAATACACTTTGTTTTTCCTAACCCAGTTCACTAATAGTGTATGCAACTAGTAAAGCTGATGTTTAATGATAGAAACAAGGGCATTAGTTGTGACCTATATAAAGCCATGTGCTTATATCCAGAGTATTAGTGGTGGAGCGCTTGGTAATGGTCTGTTTACTTGTTGATCTTGTTAAGTGGCTTAATCTTCCATTGGACATTAATTATTAATGGTTATTAATTAAGTAGTAGCTAAAGCTTTACAAGAATAAATTTGAACATTGAAATACAACATCAAAATTTCTTGCTTTGTATATTTAGATGTTTCTGTAATAACTTTCAAACAAAAAATTAAGAAAATATTTTCTGTGATAATAAATAACACTATAAAAAATAATTTGAAATAACATCAACAATACTTCTTAAAATAAACCTACTATAAATTGGATATTAAGCAATTCATGATGTTTTTACTAATACCAAAAATATTGGCACTTTTGTCACAATAAATTATATATAGTCAATAAGATTTCATAAGCCTAATAAGAAGCATTGAATAAAAACTTAGCACTTTATTGAATTCTGAACTATCTGCCCAACTGAACTGTTAACCAGTCCACAGAATAGAACTACTGTAGTTAACAGAATTGTTAACTGTGGTTGTGACTGCACGTGAAAGTGCTATTTCATTATGTACAGTATCAGCCATCAATAAAGCCTGTAACCAGCTTGTGTAATGGGAGAATCAATTTTTAATCCAAATGGAACTCAATTTTAATACAAGAGGGGATAAATATATCTTGTTACTGTTTCTGGAAATGTATCTGTTTGAATGTGTTTTATTTTTAGGGATCATTTTGTGAATGAGGATTGGGGGAGGGGAATTTCTCCCTCTGAACTCCCGCTGGTTCAGCTACTGTGTTAGAGCAGAACTATATTCCATGGGAGATTGTGTGATTCTTGGTTTCCTGGTTACAAGCATGATATTTATGGTATAAATGGATATTATTCACATGAATAATTAATTTGTATAATTTAATCCCTTAATTAACTTAATCATGCATTGTAATTCCTTTAAATCAGTAGTTAATTATTTATGAAGTGATACCACAACAGTATCGTTTACAGAAATCACTGAACTTTGCCAGCTAAGCAAATATCAACACAAAGACACATTGCGATACTGTACATGCTGAGGTATTGGTACCTCACTCACAAGTAAGAGAGTTTGATTTGTTATGTCTGTAAACAGATAATTAGGGATTAGCAAGGCAAGATGAGTGTATCATCATATAATGTTGCCACTTCACAGGAAATGTTACCTTCTCAGGAAAAAAATATGAACAGATGTAAGATACTTATCTGACTGTTTGTTATTTCCGACCCAACGACTTTACTAATCGCTTTGTTGTTGTGCTCATGTTTAAAAAAAAATCACCATTTCATTCGGTGATTAATTGTGTGAAGTTGTATGGTAGATGTTTCCCAGTTTTCCATAATTTGTTCGGCTGAAATGTGCAGGCACTCATTCCAAATGGAGTATAGTAATTGTTTGAACTGATTACCACTAGCCTTGTGAAGCTTTTATCTATTGTACTATAGTTCCACTACGATATTACAATTAATATATTTTTATTTGCTACATTTTTATATCACATCTATTTTTATCCTTTAGTGCTAAATTTGGACAGTTATATCAATGTTGAATTTGTGGGATGGGGCCTACTTACATTGCATGACCGCAAAATTTAATATAGCAGAAAATCTTGTAATGTACACATGTGCAAACATTGTGATATTTTGAGAACGATCTTTGTTTCTGTTGCACATGACGCTACATTAAAGACAAATAAGCATTGGCATGTCTGCAGGGTATATTACACTAACTTCCAATAATAGTTCTTTACTCGACTACCGGTAATGAAACTTGTGAATCTAGATCAGAAATTGTTGGCCAAACTCTTCCACATGATGCATGCATTATGCGTGCATTATGCACATTTCGTGTGTAAATTGCACGTGGCATAAAGTTACTCAAAAATATGAATAGTTCATTAATAACCTAGCCAGCTCACAGACCTAGTCTTCCAGATACTCCCTGCTAGTCTTTTTCACGTTATGTATGATGTGCACGTAGATATTTAGATCTATAGGGAAGAAACATTTGAAAGAGATAGCCATGAGTCATGTTATGACGTGTACCATAGATCTTCATTGGTATTTATATTAATGGGCTGATTTATATTCACACCCAATCAGGGGGCAACTGTATTTTTCATCCAAGTGATAGTTAAAATGACCAATTATCAATTATCTCATCCGATCTAGCATTTATAAATCTATTCATGATGAACTGAAAATTAGTTGAGGAAAGGTAATCGAACAGATCCATCAATAGTGGCAGGTACAAATAACTAAAGTACTCCCTGGTTTTGTACTTACAAAACTTCAATTTTTTAAATACTAAAATGGTGATAACATGTACAGACATGTTGACAAAGATGCTCTTCCGATGCCAGTATAAATGTTCACTTCCATATTTCCTACAGTAGTTACTTTAAAGCTATTATCCATTTACTTTTATTTTATCTTGTTCCTTTTTAAGAATTAAAATTATATAGAAGGAATTATGCAAAATTCTTTATTACGATAAATTTGTTTAATCCTAATGTCGTTGACTTCTTTCTAGTCATTCCATTCATAGGATACAAGCATCTCATCTAAAGATGTCACTGCATGGTGTGAGATAATCTAAACCTTAAATTAGATTTACATGGAACGTGCCTTGTACATACTCTACTTGTTCCACTTACCCCTGCCACCTCAAGTTGGCTGGCAAATTAGCCTCTTAGGAGCTGTGTTTTGCTTGTCACAACACCAGGTGGGGTATTCTATGGAGTATCCTCGGGTTAATGAATACCTTGAGCGTGATAGATCTGTTATTATATCTCCGATATATGATATAGGTATCAAAATATTTTTCATATTGATGAAGCTGGTTGAATGCTTTGATAGTTTGTTGCCATCTAAACAGTTGTTTAAGATGTTGAGATAAGATGAATAGAAGATTGAATTGAAAATTCATAATCAGTTGTGGTTAAGTGGTTCATTGCCCAGCTTAGAACATTCAGGGTTCCTGGTTCAATTCCTGCCAAACTTCTAGATTATTTTTATCATGACGAGATAATTAATTAATGACACTCAATCAAGAATTTTTTATAATAAAAAATTACTTTGTAAAACTTAGTAAAGCTAAAAGATGAGAATTTTGATAATTAACACATTGAATGAAATTTTGTTTAGAAATTATAACTCTCTGTGTTACAGTATTACCAATGACATAAGTATGTAAAAAATTCCAACAAGTATAGAGAAAGGGTATTATCTTAATGGAAATTAAAAACTTAAGATATAAAGGAACGGTTGTAGTTTTATTCGGCAATGGATTTTAATATGGTATCTCTTACTTCATTGAGCCAATTAACACATTTTCTATATCTATATCAAATTCAGTTTGCGTCATGAATGAATAAAAGATTGTAGTACATTACAGCTATCTTGAATTTAAAAATCTCTTAAACAACATCAGTCTTGCCTGTCATATATCAGTAAGTAAGTTAATAGCTTTGAAGCTAATATTAAGGAGACAAAATTAAGTAACTTTACTCACTGCAGACTTATGGAAGATGAAGTCGACTTGTACAGTAATTCTAACTTCTAATTAATGGCATCATTATTGGTACACTTTCATTTTTTTCTCTCATGAAACTATCAAATTAACTATGGTATGTTGTGAGTATGTTACGGAAGTTCTATCGATTTGGAAATGCTGACGACTTGAGACCAATTCCAGTATATTGTGGCTGTACAAACTAGGAGATAATTTCCTTTTTAGTACCTTGCAAAAATCAATAGACGCTATGATTCTTCCCTTGGCTATTAATCTTCAAATCTCGTTTTTCTAACTTGTAAAATTAATTCCACAAGAATGTATCTAGCGAAAGTTTAATTTATCTCATCTGAAGTAATTGTCTGCAGTTTAAAACTGTTGCCAGTACGGTGACGAGAGGAAAGAAATATTAACGTTTGGAAAACACAGACAGAAATGCTAAAAACTTCTTGCAAAGAATTGGCTATATTTTAGTAGCTTGTGTCAGTCTTGGCGGGCCTGTCAACTGCCATGGTATAAATCAGTATAGGTCTCATTGATTAAACACAGATTGATTCTGGTCATGTCACGAACATTATTGATATAATAAAACTAGGTTGTTTTCAATGACTTTATTTTGATTTATATGAAAAAGAAAGAATATGAAAAGATTCTTATAAAAATGTAACTAAAATAACAGAAAAAGTATAGTAGTATAATGTATATTCATATTTAGGAATATGAAGTAACATGATGACAATATTTTAATGCTGACCAGAATTTGAGTGCCATATACCATAAATTCAGAAAAGAAAGACCATTCCAGCACATTATAAAAGCATGAGACAGTTAAGATGGGTCTGCAATATCTGGAGTGAACCTGTGGAAATCATCTTGCCTTCAGATCCTAATTGCACTAATTATATTGGTGTTGAGGTTCAAAGAAGTGTAAACGCCATCTGAAGATGAAGGTCGGCATATGATTTTCAAACCTAAAGCGACCTATTTTTTACAAATCTTTGAGAAAGAGTTATAGGTATGCGATGGTGGAATCTCCCACCTCAAAAAACAATCACTTTAACGTAAAGTTAATAGTACTAGGTGACTCAAGTAAAATTATTTGAAGTTGAATCAAAGTGGAAATGAAATTATATCGACTCAGTTGGAGTCAAAGACATACTCCCAAATTTGATCAACTTTGAGATCAAAATATTAAATATATTTTTCTATAGGCCTACTTTTCGACAAACCTCTTAATGGTTAATGCTCTGAATGGGTTCAAAGACATTTGAACCTACAGTATAGCAACTTTAGATTTTGTTTGGAAATCAATTCTTCTGCCAAGTATGTAATAATGGTATTATAGAAGGCTGTCCGAGGACAATGCGTGAAAGGATTTACAGAAAAAAAAAACAAACCACTAATTTGATATTTTCTGTGCACAATTCTTCCACAGGAGTGGATCCAAGGCGGGAGAGGGACATGGGGACATGGGGAAAAAAGAAAAAATAGAAAGAGGAAGAAGGAGAGAACCCTTCCCGTAAAAAAAAAAAAAAAAAAAAAAAAAATATAAGAAAAGGGAAGAAAAGAATAGAAAGGGGAAGAGGAAAAAGAAAAGAAAATGGTGTAGCACCTCCCACCATGACACATATAACTTCCTATAGAGGTCGGTGCTTCGCACGATGCATGACCTCACCCACATTTATCTCTGGATAAGAGGGCTAACAATGATGGCAATAGAAAAAACTTGACTACCTCAGCTATCGATGGAAAGCAATAAATAACTATTATGTCATAAAGCTACTTTCCAAATGGGTCCTTGTACATTTATGTTTACAGTCACCTGACAACAAATATTATGTTGTACAGTATTCATAGAATAAATCACCGGAAGGACACATAATTTAACAAGCTTATTGGAAGATGATGGAAAACCTCACTAAATTGCATGTTCAATTTTATTGCAACCACTATGGAAGGCCTGAACTGTCTCCACATCTTCCTTTTATCTCTCCCTCCCGTCTAAAATTCTTTCCAAGAAATAATACAATATACCCAACTCTCCATCTCATAAAAATAATCAATAAAAATAATATTTAAAATGTTTTATTTTCATGACCAAATTATGTTACAAATATGTTAGATAATGTTTAAAAAAATGGATATTAGTCATTGTTAAAAACTAATTTATTTCAGTTATTCTAGGATTTTATTGTCAAGACTTCATAAAAGCCTTTATTAGCACTGGTCGATACTTCTGAAGATAAGTTAATTAACAATCAGAGGACATAGTCAATATTATTAATGATATTTCAAATAAGACAATTTCTTCTTACAGTACCTCTATAGGTATTAAGAATATCTTACTTTTAAAAGCATAAACATTTATGTGAGTTGCTAGCAGTAACCCATTGAAAAAAAAAATTAGAAAAATAAGTGTTGTGTTATGATATATAAGTACATAAAAGAAAAATTCTTTCTTTATTGTTATTATGATATAATTTCAACAAAGTTGTTGGTATTTTGAGTTGTGATAATTAGTTTCTTCAGTTGTGATAATTAGATTCTTCAGGTTTTATAGAACACTAGAAACAAATTAGCTGAACACTAATAACATTTACATTCTAGCTACCATCTGTTGTTTTGAAAGTAGCCCTTCCGGAAGACCACACCAGAAGTTTCTATTAATCCTCCCTGCATGTTAAAATATAACAATCCTGTCTTCTGTTGTAATTTAGTGGGTAGCCTAATATTATAGCCAACTAAATGAATGGTTGGATGTATTGTACATTTAATTGTCATCTGATTTAGTTATAAGGCCACTTTAAAAACCATCAGTCTTCTAGTGATCTAATTTACACTTGAGATAACTTTTTCTAAAGAGTTATTTACTTGGAAATATTTAATCTAATTACTCCAATCAGACAACAATCAAAACGTTAAAAACTTGGTGCCGACAAACGTTTTCTGTTTGATTTCCTCACAAAAGAATTAATGATTTGTAATTAATTTTAATGTGTGTTATATTGATCAGACATAATCGCGAGCATTTAACGATAATATTTCGCAGTCAGAGAATTCATAAAATACATTGTTTTCCCCATATTTTTGGTAGTACTTAGATTTTATATTTTAATCTCATTATGTCCCCAATAAAATCTTAATACATTCCTAAAACTTAAATAAATTTGACAAAATTTTACATTTATTTGTACGTTATTAACACAGTTTCATGTGTTCATGAAATATTTTTTTTCATTCATCCAGTGTCTAATCTAAGTACAAACATCCTGTGTTTCTACCTTTTCATTGACTGATGTGCTTCAGTGTAACACCATACTTAGGTATGCCTTCTCTTAGAATTCAATGCTTAAACATATACAATTCCGTAAAAACAAACGTTACAGAGGAAGAAATCAGCGTTTTGTTCAAAAGCACATGAATTGAAGCATTCATGCGTGAAATGATGACTTTGCGACCGGCACTTAGCAGTCTGGCTAACGTTTGTTGATGTTGTTGTGTGTAGAGGAGTATGAATTGTTCAATTATTAATTTACAGCTCGTTAAACCTGCTTCCGGTGTTTAAAGTGATGGGAGAAGGAATATGATATGAAATTAGGAACATTGAGGGAATACCAAAGAAATTTTTTTGGGGGGAATTAGTTTAGTCTACTTTGGTAGCTGCCATTCTTTTTATTGGCTTGCTTTTATTTGTATCTCAAACTGATTTATGAAGTTCGAATTGTAGGAGGATGGATTGTTGGTATAATGTTTGAAAATGTTGAATGAGCTCTTTCTGCCTAAAGATACCTCTCAGCACTGTCTCCTCCCTTCATGTGTTGAACTAAATGTAACCTGTATTAGACAATTAATTATAGAAGTACACCTGCACGTTCTTGTAATGGTAAATGTAATGACATTAGAATTATATTACTCATTTTTCTTATAAATTTAGCTTCAACTTAACTGATACTCCCAACCACAATATTTTATACATTGGAATTAATTAAATTAATTGTGCAATTCATGTGTACCCTCTAAATGTAAAGTACTTGGGTCAAATCCTTTGACACTTTGTTTTTTTTTCTCACAACTAAAATCTACTCCATTTCATTAAGCCTTTTTTAGAGATTCATTCCTGTAATTGGCCAGAGGACTTTTTTGGATGTTGAAAAAATAAATGTTATGCTACAAATGAAGGTAGTTCAATTATATTAACAAAATGGTAACCATTCAACATAATGCAGTTACTGTAAAAAAAAAACAACCTATAAACATGATTGGCAGTGTCGTTGATATCCGCATTGATGCCCGCATTGATGCCTGATTTGTAAAGGGCTGAGTGGTTTAGTGATTTCTGTTTAGGTCTGGGTATCTGATATGAATAACTATTATATATTTACTATACAGTAATAACTACAAGGCAAACTGGTGTCTTGCAATTGTCTGTTATTTTTAAAACTTGGCTAGCAATTCTAATGCACTTTTGAGGAAACCTTTTGAAGGGTCCCATCAATAGGGTGAAATTATTGGGAAATTATATTACTAGAGTGTCAAAACTTTAATAATTGCTTACCAAGGTGATTCATTCATTTTTTGTTTTGTTTATACTGGGGAACCTGTTCAATATATTAGATAACTGAACTTCCCACTGGGCCCAAGTTTTGCCAGTGAAAGTTTAGGGAGAAGAGTTGTAGTTGACTATAACAATTCTGAGTTTGAAAGGATTTGAACTGAGGATCCTGGCATGGGTGAATCCAGGAGGTGAACGATAGGGTAGCTATCCACCTTCAACCTTTCCTAAAAGAATACAGAGGTCTGGCAAGTCCTTTGACCAACAGACAAGATGGCTTATTAAGAGAATGTAAAGCATCTAGGAGTGGTTTCATACTACAATTGCAGTTTTGCTTCTCAAACTTGAGGTCAGAGGTTCAAAATCCCTTGCTGTGTCCTTAGGTAAGGCATTTAGGGTCCTGGCATGTGTGAATCCAGAGGGTGAACCTACGGCAGTGGTGGCACCAGGATTTGGCTGACGGAGGGTCCAAGGACGAGGACCTTGACGAGAAAAGGTGGGCTCAAAATCTCTTGAAAGTGTTCCAGGAGGCGATAAGCCTCCAAAAAATATAAACATATTTTTTTTTCTCCCTGACAAATTGTGGTTTTTCTCCCCGACAGGGGTCTGGGTCCCCCAGCTGGTGCCACCCCTGACCTACAGTTGTCTCTAGTAGGTTCAAACACAAAATGTGCTGATTACTAACTGCAACATTACAAAATGCTGCTCAGGGATCTGAGTATTTTTATCATATGTGCTAGATCCAATAACCGGTGGTAATAATGTTAAGTGCATAGAGGTCTCTACAATATATACTCTATAAGTCGAAAATTATTATTATGGAAAGGGACATATTTATATCATCTAATTTTCACTCTTGCCAGAGCCATGGGCTTGCTTCCACCCTCGCCCCAGCCATGGACGTGCTTCTACCCTCGCCCCAGCCATGGACTTGTTTCCGTCCTCGGCCCAGCCAAGGACATGCTACCATCCTCACCCCAGCCAAGGACTTCTTCCATCCTCGTTCCAGCCAAGGACTTGTTTCCATCCTCGCCCCAGCCATGGACTTGCTTCCATCCTCATCCCAGTCAGGGACTTGCTTCTCTCACATTAGCCCCATTACTTAAACCGTGCTGCCCCTTTTGTATTCATCATTGTTGTCACCATTTTTTCATATTAAACAGGAAAAAAAATCCTATTTAAACAACCTGCTTACACTACCTAACTGCTTCCATCCCCTCACCTCCTTCCCCGTTCTTCAATCCCAGATCTACCATTGACGGGTTTTGGAATGCAAATCTTAACCACTGTCGCTCTACCTGGAGTCACAAATCAAAGCAGACATGTTGTTAGTAGCGTAGAGGTTGTGCAGAGATGGTGACCCATAGAACCTTGAATGATAAATGCTACTAAAATAATGTTTATTCACTATGCCTATTAGTATTGGCATCTGCACTTTACTTTGCTTTAACAACAAGGTTAGAAAAATATCTTCTTTATAAATTAAAGGGGACATTTTTCATTGAAGTTTCAATGAGGCTGCATTTTATGCAAGTATCCAAGAAAGTGTATGTCACCAGAAAAACCATAATTTAAAATGTTAATCTAGTTTGTATAAAATATTTAAAACACCTTTTTGTGTTTATGACATATTATATCAGAAAGCATAATTATATTTACCTCCCTGTACTTAGCATATAGTTAAGAAAATTGAATATCAATAATATAAATAAATAATTAATTACAATTCTGTGATTATGCTTAAAACTTTAATTTGTTAATAATTTACTATGGCGACAAACAATTCAGGAGAGACTTAAAAAGCATTTTATATAAATAAAATGTCTTTAATTGAGGTTGAAAATTAAACAGACTTGGCTTGTATGTATTCTTAAATCTCTGTAGCCATAATTTCTAATAAAACCTCATGTTTTCAAAACAAGCTATGACATAGAGATTGCTTAAGTCCATACATGCCCTTTTCTTCGCCAATTAAGATACTTCACTGATCAATCTGAACTACAGTATCATATGCCTATATACTACGTTATATGAATTGAACAGCTTATAAGATCATATGAAGAGGTCTTTGGGTTGAGATAAAACCACAAGGGAGGCAAATTGTCGTATGGTCTGTAATCGTAACTACTTATGCCCAAGTGGCCAGCTGATTGCATCAAAAGCCATATGGCAAAGTATGCGGCGGTGCCTGTGATCTGAAAAATCCTGTGTATTGCTACTGAAGAGAAAAAAATTATGATCAAAATATTTTATTTTGTATTATGTTATATTATATCTTAAAAACTTGCAGTGTACACTCTTAAGCTATGTATATTCATTAGATGATGTTAATTAAGATAAATGGTTATTCTGTATTAATTTAAAGTACATTTTATTACCGTTGTACAACATAATGTAAGTAATTAACAAGGGCAATGCTTTTTGACATTGAAACTCCTAGTAGACAACAAAGTAGTATGCTGTAGTGTATATGTATGGACATCAGGAAAATTTCTTTTAAGGGCTTAATGAGTGCCTGGAGGATTTTGAGATCCACAAGGCATTATATAATAATTTTGTGTTTTATATTCTGAGTAATATAGTTAATTATAAATAAAGAATTATATATATTATACACACACACACAC